GCTGCGATGACCCATCCAGGATCTCGGTCTAGACACACACCTCCCAAGTGGCCAGGCCTTCACATGCAGGATTGTTAAGTACTACGATGACCCACAGTGTTCCAGCACTGCAGCCCCTCACAAATTTGTCCCTCGTTAAATGAGTAAGCCTGAGACAGTCGTCCTGGGCATGGTACCTCTGGGGATTCTCGTCCATATTGGCGCCAACAGGAATTTCGAAGTTCTCAGTCTCAGCCTCATCACAGAACGAGACAACAAAGCCACAGAGGGAGAGTGTGGCTCACTGCGCTGCCCTGCCATGGGAGGGCCAGGCTCAGGCCAGGCCTCCGTCCTGGACTGCGAGCCCAGACTGGCGTCTGCAGTGGGACTGACCTGAGCACAGGCGGGTACTGGAGCTGCCAGACACAAATGGGTGTGCTGCTCGTGTCTTTCCCCGACCTGAGGAGTGTTTCCGCGCGAGCTCCGAGCATATTGCGCTGTAGGCTGCGTCTAGATGATGCATTTCTCCAACCCAAAAGCAGAAACTCAGATGGCTTGGACCATATTTCTGTGTGTTTAGAAACAGCTGGTTGATCGACTGAATTTTTAATTTTTCGCAGAAATGTTTGATGTTGGGAAGAGTGTGCCTTTAAAGTTCTCTGAGGAGAGAAAAGATTTCTGCGAAAGTTTTTTTCCCATAAATATTCCATATTTCAATGACTGACTGTGAACCAATACTCAGTGATGGAAGAGATAATCCTTCCTCCTCCCCCCGCGCCCCGACGTCCTGCGTTCGGGACTCAGGCACCCGCTCCCGCTCTGGGAGTCCGCCTACTCAGCCCTTCTGCAGTATTCAGTCGTCTTCAAATCTATCACACTTGTGACTTGGTCTTCAAATGAATCCGAAATATGTTGCTACCACAATTTTGAAGAAATGAGCCTGAATATTTGGTCAAAATGCTGAAATCATGTGAGTTACAAAAAATAGGCCAATGTTGATGTTGCCTCACACGTAATAGATATTCAACAAATATTTATGTCGATATTTGACCAATATCACATTTGTTAATTTTTTTTTTTTTGGAGAGGTTTTTGCTATAGGGCGCGTGCGCTCGCCAGACAGACAGAGAGAGACATAGAGATAGAAAGCGAGAAATCACCCTCCAAGTGAGATGGCCACACCGCAATCCCTTCTCCTCCATTCTCCTCTTGGGATCTTGGGCACGCACACACATGCACCCGGCATGAGTTTTAAGCCACCAGGTCCGGGACGCGAACCGTGGTCAACTACGTGGGAGTCCAGCGACATAGCCATTACGCTAACTGCTGGTCCCTTCACATTTGTTAAATTTTTAAAATAAGTATTTGTTTAATTTTTTGGATTTGCTATTATTATTATTTTTTTATTTTAAATGTTAGGATGTTTATTTTTTTAATTAATTAATTATTTTTCATTTCATTTTCTTCCATACATTCAATCACATTATTATTTGTCTTATTTTTTAATTTGACCAGAGAGATACAGGGAGAGGGAAAAGGAAAGTGAGAAAGCAAATCACCAGGTCTGGGACTCAAACCATGGTCGGCCATGTGGGAGTCCAGTGTTATAACCACCACACCACCTGCTGGACCCACATATTTGTTAAATGCTGATATACTAAAATGTTATCATATGATCGCTGAATGAAATACATTCGATTGAACTGAATGGAATCCCTCAGGCCTAAGACTTTCAGGAAAGTGAGATGACTCCGAGCTATGAGACCTGGGATGAAAAGGAGATGATTCTGAATATGCAGACCTTGTTAGGTGTGCCGGGTGCTTCCCAAATGATCTCAGTAACCTTCACAGAAGCCCACGGGGTAGAGCCAGCTTACAGAGAGGGAAACTCAAGGCTCTGAGAGGAGGAGGAACTCTCTCAAAACTGCACAGCTAGGGTCGACTAGGTGGTATGGTGGTTAGACTGGCTGGATCTCACATGGCCGACTTCATGGTTTGAGTCCTGGACCTGGTAGCTTGAAGATTACACTGGGCACATGTGTGTGTGTGTGTGTGTGTGTACCCAAAATCTCAAGAGGAGAATGGAGGAGAAGGGATTGTAGCACAGCCATCCCCTCCGGGGGAGGGGGCTGGGGGGTGATTTCTCCCTCTCATCCCTCTCTCTCTCTCTCTCCACTGAGCACATGCACTCTATAGCTAAGCTAAACACTGCACAGCTAGTAGACAGAGCAGCCTGCAAGTCCACCCTCCCAGGGCGGTTTCGAAGGCTGCCCTGTCCCCCTCTGTGCACCCCTGTCGGTCTCCAGCAGCCACCTCTGCCTTACTCTGAAAATTCTCACTTTCGGCCCCTTGGAGGTTGGGAAAGCAGAACTCCCAAGTCCGCAGTGAGCACGACTTCACGGCCACAGCAGAGCAGGCGGGGTCTCTGCCCCTCGTCCCCTATGTGTGGAGGAACACATGGACCAGGTGGGCTGAGTGCCCCTTGCACACATGCCGAGGCCCAACTGGGTTGGGCTGACGGGATCCAAACCTCCTAACGTAACTGAGCAGAGCTGACTCGGGGATTGATGGTGGCCAGGAGAGTGAGCGAGGAGGGGTGAGCAACCCCAGCACTAGGGACTTAGATGTGGGCGGGGCAGGGGCGCTTTTTTGTGTCACAGGAACGCTTTCATCAGACTCCAGCTGTTCCCCAGGGAACTGGGCTAAGGGAGGCTCTGCTCCTGTTTGGTTGTGGCCCTGGCGAGGAAAGAGGAGGGAAGGATGCATCCAGGATGTGCCCGTCCCACAAGAGGCAGCCCCCAGGACGACATGTGCAAGGGGAGCCCTTGCCACACGGAGGGGCTTGCCATGGATGAGGAGGGGACGTCTGAGACGACTCGCCCCCTCACGCCCTGCAAGCCATCGAGGCCCAATATGGTACTTGCCCTTTGGATTCTGAGAAGTCAATGAACAGAAATGGAAGCTGATGAGAAAAGATTATGTAATAATATATTTGCTGGGGCCAGATGGTGGCACAGCAGTAATCCAACTGGACCCACATGGGAAGGTCATGGGTTCACGTCCCGAGGCCTCCTCATCCACACTGGGCATGTGCAGAAGCGCCCATGATCCAGGCTGGGTGGGGCTGGGAATGGATCGTGGCATGAAGACCCTGTTAGGGCTGCCAGACTCTCTCCATCTGTCTCTATCTCATGTCAGACATTTAAAATCTTAAAATATTAGAAGTGTTGGGACCAGCAGTTGGTGTAATGGCTATGTCACTGGACTATCATGTGGTCGACCATGGTTCGAGTCCCGGACCTGGCAACCTAAAACTCACACCGGGCGTGTGTGCATGTGTGCCCAAGATCCCGAGAAGAGAATGGAGGAGAAGGGATTGCAGCGTGGCCATCCCCCCTGGGGGGTGATTTCTCGCTTTCTGTCTCTATATCTCTCTCTGTCTTTCTGGCGAGTGCACACACCCTATAGCAAAAACCTCTCAAAAAAAAAAAAATGTGTCTACTAATTAGGCATGTTAGGTGTCTCCCTGTGCCATGTTAGCAGGGGAAGTTAGCATTGTTTGTAAAGTTATAAAGTCAGTTTAACAAGCTTTACCGCCATATGGCATGGGCTTCCTGCACAGAGCCAGGTAGGGTACGAAAGCAAAGATAACCAGCTACCTGCTAGACCATTTAATTGTGATGGCGCCCCTTCCACTGGGGGTCCCGGGATTGAGAATCGTGTGTCACCTTGAGGATATGGCCCTCGTGGGAGAGGAGGAGTCCCACATGTGGATGAGGTCCAGGGTTCAGAGGCACAGGCCCCGCTGACTGGCTGTGGGACTTTACCTGAGGTACCTATGTTCCTCATTCCTCTGACCTATCGTTGTCTCATTTAGGAAGTACATATACATTATCCTTTTGAGTGTGTGCACATACATTTGAAGATTAAATCATGGACCATCTGGGGCCAGAAGGTAGCATGGTGGTCAAGGTGCTGGACTTGCACATGGCCAACAGTGGTTCAAGTCCTAGACCTGGCAGCTTGCTTTCTCACTTTCCCTCTCTTTGTCTCTCTCATCATTTAAAAAAAAAGAAATAGTAATAATAATAAATATAATGTAAAATTAAAAATCAGGGCCAGCTGGTGGCATGGTGATTAAGGCACTGTATTCCACACAGCCAAATGCGCAGTTCAAGTCCGGGACCCAGCAATTTGACAAATACACTGGTACGAGTACCTGTGTGCCCAGAGTCCTGAAAGGAGAATGGAGAAGGGACTGCCGTGTGGCCATCTCCCCTGAAGGGTGCTTTCTCACCTTCTCTTTCTCTCTGTCTCTGTCTCTCTCCGGCGACCCCATGCACCCTATAGCAAAATTAGAAAAATAAATAAAAAATGGAATCAGATCGTGAAAAGCTTTCTGCAGCATTGTCTCGGGCTCCTAGGAGGGGAGAAGAAAGGGCCCTCTGACGCCACATCCTACAGGTGTCAGTGAGAGAGGGTGGAGAGGACTGAGGCCCGCGTGCTTTACGGAGCGTTGTCGAAATGCAGTTAAAGGGTACCCACAAAGACAACCCAAAACGAACACTTTAGGCCCCTCCAGTGTTGATGCAAAGTTTTCCCCCTCTTCACTGGCATGGTTTGGGAAGTGTGGACGCTGAGAGTTGGATCTGTGAAAGGGAGGGTGGGAACAAGAAAAAAGAGGGAAGCGATTCGGCCAAGATTTGCAGGTGTTAAATATAACCCCCAGAGTGGTTACTGCGACTCTCCTGCCTCTCCTGCGATTGGGAAGGAAGTAGGTGGGTGGCTAGGTGGCTAAAGAGTGCCAGAATCCGGCCAGAAACCAAGGGCTCCATATGATGCATCTTAACAGATACGCCCTCAGATTTCCTTCCTTCTCCTGGGGGCGGTGTTTACATAAGGCTTTGCTGAAGTCCAGATAACAAACCCTGCCTGGAAAGACAGTCACTTCTGCCTGTAGTCAAGGCCAGTGCCTTCCAAGACGCAGAAATCCCTGATCAACAACAACAAAATGTACTCACCGTGTTCTGAAAGCCTTCCAGATCTCGGCAGAATGGAGAACGCGGAGACGCAGAGCGCACTGCCAGCCTGGCATCCCAGCCGCCCTTTCATCCAGGAGCGTTTTTATCTCCCCGAGCAGCGAGCGGCGAGCGGCGCGGGAGCTTCGCGTGCGTCCTATTCCAGATCCACGGCAGCTTCTTGATTTCTCGCACAACAGAAGCGAATCTGTTAGACCTTCCTAATAAACCTTCACCCTTTGAAAAGGATTTACTCTTTGGCCCCTAAGAACCTGTAAAAATGACGCCCATCTCCCACGCACAGCAAGGCTGCCTACGGAAGCAAGCGAGGTGTGTGCTTTTCAGATGAAAGGTGTCTTTTAAAGGCAGCATTGTGACTACAGGCATATTAAACCTGAAATGGATGCACTTTCGCAAGATAATGAACGATAGCACTTCCTCATTGTCCTACCCACTCTCCAGTGTTCTGAAAAGCCGGTGCTGTTCAGCATTTGCAGGGATCCCACAGAAGACAATTTTTAGATGATTTACATACCTCACTCTCCCTGATTGTTACTTAGCATAAAAGGTTGTACTTCTTAAGTGTTCCCCCCTTTAACCCTGTTCTTAGTACCTCCATTTAAAGCCTGAAAATGACTCACTTTTGAATGTGAATGGGTGACTGCAAATCCCCGGGCCCCTCAGCGCTGCCTGGCACAGGCTGGGCACGCGCAGGTGCTGGCCCTGGCCTCCCTGTCTGCAGAAGCGCAGGAGTGAGCAAAGCCTGGTGGGCAGGCCCTTCGACCCGGATAGCCCTGGCTGCTGGGCACACTCTGAGGCTCTGGAGGGATACGAACGCGTGAGGTTTCTGCCTACACTTCAGTAACTTAAAGCTCGCTGGCAGGTGGACCCCTTCCATCCAACGGAGTTGGATGAGACACCGAGCGATGCCACAGCCACACGGCCCCACATGGTAGACGCCAGCCTCAGTTTTATGTCATCTTGGAGGGAAGTTTCCAGAGGCTCCTGCTCGATCCACAATGCTCGCTCTTAGCCTTATCCATGCAGCCACGCCACGAGGCGCAGCGGGAGAGTTCTGACTCTCTTCAGGCTTACCAGTGCTGGCGTTCACAAAAAACGCTCGCCCGCACAGCTGAAAATAGTCCACCACTGCAATGATGCAGATCTCAGATCATTGGGCTGTTTTTTCCTTTTCTTTTTTTTTTTTTAGCGAGAGATTTTTCCTATAGGGCATGTACGGTTGGCAGAGAGACAGAGAGAAATAGAGAGACAAAAAGCGAGAAATCACCCCCCAGAGGGGATGGGCCACAATCTCTTCTCCTTCTTCTCCTCTCAGGATTTTGGGCACACACACACACGTGCCCAGTGTGATTTTAAGCCCCCAGGTTGGGGACTCGAGCCACAGTCAACAACGTGGGAGTCCAGCGACGTAACCATTACGCCATCTGCTAATCCCCGGACAGACATGTTTTAGGAACAGAGTTGAACCGAAATCCCTTCTATGCGTGCTGTTGGAGTTACTTTCCCCGTATCCTGTTCCAGTTAAGGATGGAGAGTCGCACTGTTGGCAAGGCCTGGACCGTGTGTTCACTTGGCCTGGGCTGCGGCCCTCCTGCTGCTCACACAGCCCTGTCCTCCGTCCACGCTGAGCATGGAGAGCGCCCCCTCATCTCTGGGGGCCAGTTTGCAACGACGCCTGGTGCCCTTGTTCTCCACTAAACCACCTCCTTTTCTCCTTTTCTTTGGAATATGGCCTAGGATTTTCCTGTTCTTCTGGCATTGTGGCGCCCAGAACAGAGTCCCCCTATGATGAGAATGCTCAGCGTCCTACCTGCGCCCCGTCACTCATCTAGGAGCAGCCTGGCTCCCTCTACCCAACACAAGACTACACGAGGGGTCTTCAGAAGCCTTGCGGAAAACATGTATAATGACGAAACTGCGTGGATTTCAATTCTTTCAAACCCAAAGAAGCTCACACTATTTTATTGGCCAAAGGGCACAGCTGGAGGCGGGGAGAATGGGTAAGGGTTGGGAGAAAGCACCCCAGATGGGGCATGGCCATGGCCAGGCCACAACCCCTTCTGCATCTCTCCTTCCTGTCAGGATTTTTGGCATGGACACACACACACACACACACACACACACCTTGCATGTATTTCAGGCCGCCAGGGCTGGAACTCAAACTGAGCAGTCAGCCATGTGGGATCCAGCTCCCTTAACACGAGGCCAGGGGGCAGGCCCCAAATTGTATCCCCCCCACTTTTTAATTTGCTAGAGGGCACATACACTCTCGGTGATAGCAAGGGAGAAACAGGGAAAGCGAGAAAGCACCGTCCATAGGGAACGGTCACATCGAATCTCTTCTCCACCATTTCTCCCCGCGGGACTCCGGGTATGCACGCACACACGTCCAGTGCTTTTCTTTTTCTCTTTCTGAAAGATTTTTGCCATAGGCATGTGCACTCACTGGAGAGACAGAGCTAGCCAGAGAGAGGAAAATGAAAAATCACCCCTCGGGGGCTGGCCATGCTGCAATCCCTTCACCTGGGATTTTGGGCATGTACACACCCACATCCAGCATGAGTTTCAAGCTACTACGTAGGGGACTCAAACCATGGTTGGCCATGTAAGAATCCAGTGCCTTAACCCCCACACTATCTGCTGGCCCCCAGTGTGTTTTTCAAGCCACCGGGTCTAGGACTCAAACCACACAATTGGCCATGTGGGAACCAGATGCCTTAACCCCGACTCCATGACCCAGCCCACCGAAATTGTACTTTCAATTTTCCCACAAACTTTTCCAAGTCTCTCGGTACCACTGACTCCTTTTAGCCCTGAATCAGAGTCCCTGGAAGGTTATGACATCAGGCACTTTGTGGATTTCTTTTTTTAAAGAGAATTTTTCTATAAGGCACATATGTTCACTGGAGAGACAGACAGACAGAAGGTGAGAAATCACACCCTAGGGAGGGATGGCCACACCACAATCCCTTCTCTTCCAGTCTCCTCTTGGGATTTTGGGTACACATGCACAAGCACCCAGCATAATTTTCAAGCCACTGGACCTGGGACTTGAACCATGGTCGACCACATGGGAGTCCAGTGCCTTAACCACCACACTACCAACTGGTCCCCCTTTTGTGAATTTTTATAGGAATGGAAAATCTTGCCTAACTCAGCAGAGACGTGTGTGCCCAGCCACGGGGCTGACTACACCGTTCATCAATGTGAGAGGGGTGTTTTCCGTTTGCCTCAAAACCAGCTTCCACGATGAATGGGTTGATGCTCACAGGGCAGTTTCCTTAGCTGACGTGGTCCTCTGTGGGTGCTCGAGGGCAGCACTGGCTCTGAGTCGGCAGCCCCGGCCACCCGAGGGCATCAGAGCAGGGCAGAGGAATGACCCCTCCGAAGCAGACCTGGGTAGGGGCACATGGATTCCACAGGCTCGCATCCCACACCCGGCCTGGCGACCTCGCCCCATGGGGGTTCCAGCTCTGGGTGATCCAGCATTTTCTCCTGGTGGATTTACTTTGATATAGCCCTCAAATAAGCATTTGGGTTTTGGATTTTCAGCACTATTCTGAAGTAATTCTGAATGCCACTCATCTTCCTCTGGTGGTGTCATGCTCTTCCCTGTCACTTCTCCCATAGTCCTCTCTCTACGGATCATGCCAAGGTCGGTGTCATCTGTAATTTAAAGAGTGTGACCTCGGGACCAGCAGTTGGTGTAATGGCCGTGTTGCTGGACTCCCATGCGGTTCGAGTCCCGGGCCTGGTGGCTTAAACTCACACCGGGTGTGTGGGCGTGCATGTCCAAGATCCCGAGAGGAAAATGGAGGAGACAGGATTGCGGCGTGGCCATCCCCCCTGGAGGGTGATTACTCTCTTTCTGTCTCTCTGTCTGTCTGGAGAGCTCATGTACCCTATTGCAAAAACCTCTCCAAAAACAAAAGAGCGTGACCTCAAGTCTGATCAGTCGCTACAGATAAGAGCAACTCGACAACAGTAGTTTGAAAGGGACCACTGGGAAGTCACCCAGGAAGGTGAGGGTTGCAGAAAATGTTCTTTCCACCTTCTTCCTGTTGCCTGAGGTTTATCGTGGGAAATGCCTGGGTCCGGATAACTGATGAAGAGAGGGTGATGCAGCTTGCGGATTGGAGCCCAGTGCGCCCAGCATGGCAGGGTGGGGAGCACAAGGACTGCTCTAGGAACCAGGCTCCCTGGTATCCCAGAAATATGCCGACTTTCTACCAGAAAGGGAGCCCCTTACAAACATCCCTCCTCCCCTCTCTCCCTGTCCGCCCCACAGTCTGAGCCATGCTAGTTTTCATGCCTGAATGCCCCCAACCTTAGAACGCAATGTGCCTGACAGTGAACACGCCCCTGGCTATGGGAGGGTCCCCTTCTGACTGGGAGCAGGCGCTTGCATTTGCTAGCGTCTCCCAGCAGCTAAAAAGAGAGAAATGGGGTCCTGCAGGTGGCGTGTTGGTCGAGGTGCTGGCTTCCGTATGGCTGTGTGGTTTGGGTTCTAGACCGAGCAGTTTGAAAAATCATTCTGGGTATGTGTGTGTGCCCAAAATTCCAAGAGGAGAATACAGGAGAAGGGAATGCAGTGTGGCCATGGTCCCTGGGGGGCAATTTCTCACTTTCTTTTTGTCTCGCTCTGGCAAATGGAAATGCTCTATCACACTGGAGCATGTACGTGTGCCCCAAATCCCGGGAGGAGAATGAGGAGAAGGAGTTGCAGAGTGGCCATCCACCCTGGGGGGAGGGATTTCTCACTATTCCTCTCATTGTCTCTGTCTCTCTCCAGCGAGTGCATGAGTCCTATGTCAAAACTTAAAAAGCGAGGGGGACCAGCAGGTGGCATGGAGGTTAAGGAGCTGGATCCCACATGGTTGACTCCATGGTTCAAGTCCTGGACCTGATGGCTTATAAAACACACCAGGCATGTGTAGATGCATGCCTAAAATCCCAAGAGGAGAATGGAGGAGAAGGAATTGTGGCATAGTCATCCCCCTGGGTGCTGACTTCTCTCTCTCTCTCCCTAATAAGTGCATGCACCTTATGGCAAAAAGGAAAAAGAGAAACGAGCTGAGGACCGTGAGCTGGACAGAGTCGAGCCCTGTGCGATCTTTCTGACTCCTTGGCCAGATCCTCCACATGTCAGAGCGTGCTGTGTGCAAAGCTCCGCCAAGGAGAGGCAGCAGTTTCAGCCCTGCGTAGAGTTGGAGCCCCGCGCTCCCGTGCTCAGTTTCTAGACAACAAAGAGTGAAACCCCGCAAGACTGTCAGTGTGCAGCGTCTATGGCGTCTATATTAAACTGGTCCACAAAGCCCCAAGGCCAAGGCTGCGGAGGACAGCCAGGGGAGGATGCGGAGGTTGGGGGAGTGGTGCTGCTCATGGAGGAACAGGGCATTTCTGCACCTCTCATGGCCCTGGGCAACTTGGGCCGGCCTCTCCCAGCACACTGAGAAGAAAATGCAGAGTCCTTGTGGCCAGTACTTCCACTAATCCATTTAGGGGTAATCCTGCAGTTCTTCCCCCGAACAACCTGCTTTCCGCAGAGACGCCTCCTCTCTGCTGGGGGCTTGCTTTGTGGATGACTCTCCCCTGGGGTCTCTAGGTGCAGGGTTACATTGGGATGGTATCATTTTCAGTATTCAATACTCTTCTTCCTGCGGCCTGTCATTTTCCCCTGTTGTTCTTGTACTCAGTCCTTACCCTGATCCTCTGCAAATAAAACTTCGCTGTATTCTGGGAGACTGCTTCTTAGTTCTTTTCTACAGGAAGAAAGTTCAATTAAAATTCAAAGAGAAGATGTGCCGGCCCTGTGCCCGGTGGTTGAGGGAGCCGGATGCCACATGGCCAACCTCCGGATTTGGATCCTGGCCCTGGCAGCTTGGAAAGCACACTGGGGCATGTGTGTGTGTCCCCACATTCCCCCAGGATGGGGCTGTGGTGTGACCGTCCCCCAGGGAGCGTGCTTCTCGCTCTCCCTTTGTTTTTCTCTTTGGCAAGCACATGTGCCCTCTGGCAATGGAAAAAGAAGAGAAATGTTTAAAGAGACAAAAAGGGAACACGTGGGAAGGTGTACCTCGCTCTAAAAGCATGTTCAATGTGAATTTGTTTCTGGATTCAAAATTCAAGAGTTTTAGTCACATAATGTAAGAAAATGGTGGAATTCCTGGGATTATTCTGACCACCAATGGTTTGGAATCAAAAATCAGAATTGGACAGGACAACAGGTGGCATGGTGGGTAAGGTGCTGGGCTCCCACATGGCTGACCACAGTTGAGTCCCAGACCTGGCGACTGGAAAAATCACACTGGATGGGGACCAGCAGTTAGCATAATGGCTATGTCGCTGAACTCCCATGTAGTCGACCACAGTTCGAGTTCCGGACGCGGTGGCTTAAACTCATGCTGGGCACCTGCCCAGCCTGTGTGCGTGCCCAAGATCTCAAGAGGAGAATGGATAAGAAGGGATTGCGGAGTGGCCATCCCTCCTGGGGGTGATTTCTCGCTTTCTGTCTCTCTGTTTCTCTCTGTCTTTCTGGAGAGCGCACGCGCCCTGTAGCAAAAAACCTCTTTACAAAAAAAAAAAAGAAAGAAAGAAAGAAAGAAAGAAAAATCACACTGGATGCATGTGTGTGTGTGCCCCAAATCCCAGGAGGAGAATGGAGGAAAAGGAATTGCAGAGTGGCCATCTACCCTGTGTGTGTGTGTGTGGGGGGGTCATTTCTCATTTTCCCTCCCATTGTCTCTCTCTCTCCAGCGAGCACATGAATCCTATGTCAATACTTAAAAAAAAAAAGTCAGGCAGGATTGGGGACTGGGTGGTGTACAGCAGCGAAATGGGATGGTCTGTGAGAAGGCTCTAGGCTCACACCCAGAGGCCTCCCCGGGTACACCAGGTGCACATGGCGCTGGCTGAGGTGGGGTGGGGCTTGCATCAGGGTCCTGCTGCAGGTGCTGTCTCTGTCTCTGTCTCTCTCTCACCTCTCCTGTATGCTCATGGAGGATATAAATGGATAAACTTCCTTGAAAAGATCAGGATGAGCCACATTTAGCTCCAATATTCACTCTTTGGGGAGACGAAGTGAAGCTGAAGGAAGAGGACAGGTGAAAACATCCAAGTCTTCTTTTCTTTTTTTAAAAAAATAATTATTTATTTAATTTTATTTGTTTATGCATTTATTTTAATTTGAACAAAGAGAGGTACAGAGAGAGAGAGGGAAAGTGAGGCAAGCCACCAGGTCCGGGACTTGAACAGTGGTCCACCGTGTGGGAGTGTCCAGCGCCTTAACCATCACACCACCTGCTGGTTCCCCTAAGACTTCTTTTCACCCAGAAAGATCATGCTGATTAAGTCAGGCTGATACCTAAAATTTTCAACTCAAGTAAAACGCGAGAAACATACAAGCAAACAAACCACCTTTCTCCCACACTGAAACACCACATCGATTTCAGTCTTTTTTTTTCTTATAGAGATTTTTGCTATTGGGTATGTGTGCTCGCTGGGGAGACAGAGAGAGACAGAGAGACAGAAAGCGAGAAATCACCCCCCTCTGGGGGGGGGTGATGGCCACGCCGCCATCTCCTCCGTTCTCCTCTCGGGATCTTGGGCACGCACGCACACGCACCTGGCATGAGTTTCAAGCCGCTAGGCCTGGGACGTGAACTGCGGTTGACTACATGGGAGTCCCAGCAACATAAGCATTATGCCATCTGCTGGTCCCAACACTGTGTATGTTTCCTAGACACCCATTCTTTACCAGTAGATCGTGGCGGCTCTAATAACCTGTTAGGGAGCCAATCGCTTTGACAAGTAGCAATCAACAAAGTATCAACTGGGTTCATTGTTTTTCATGGATTTTGCTTTTCCATCTTTTTCCATTTTCAAGGAGGAAGGGAAAAGAGGAGCAACCGTGAGATGCAGTGGGAAGAAGGGGACCCAGAGCATGTGGTGACAGCACCCCTGTGTGGGGGCTGGCCACCTTTGTCCACGCAGCGTTGAGCCAGGCCACGGGCTTTCTTACGTCCTACGATGTGTTGACGCCACACAAGCCCTAGTGATGGAAAGGCATATGGCCTGTGACCCACGTGGGACCCTCCACTCAAGGCCCCCAATAAACTGCAGCAGTGTAAAACTTTCATCAGGTTAGTTTTCTGGATTCAGGCAAACTTAATGGTTTTTATGAATATATTTAGTTATGCCTGAAGAATGTCAAGGCAACCAGTTGAAAAGCCAATCTGAAACACACACACACACACACACACACACACATATTTGGAAAGGGGAAGGGTGCATACATTCATCAGAGAGAGAGAGAGAGAGAGAGAGAGAGAGAGAGAGGACCACCTGATGCTGCGTGGCCATACTGCAATCCCTTCCCTCCATTTCGCCACCCTGTTAGGATTTGGGTTCAGGCAGGTACGTGTGTGTTTTGCAAGCCAGCATGGCTGGGATTCGACCCCTGTGGTTGGCCATGTGGGATATTCATGCTAAAAGATATAGGAAAAGACTTCAGAAAAATTTGTGGAACAGTGGAATTAAAGTATGAGCTTATTTTAGTGCAAAAGATTTTGAAATCTGTAATTGTTTCACGGTACACATATTCCATGAACTTTTTTTTTTTTTTTTTTGAGAGGTTTTTGCTATAGGGCACATGTGCTCACCAGACAGACAGAGAGAGACAGAGAGACAGAGACAGAAAGCGAGAAATCACCCCCCGGGGGGGTGGTCACGCCGACATCACAATCCCTTCTCCTCCATTCTCCTCTCAGGATGTTGGGCACGCATGCACACGCGCCTGGCGTGAGTTTTAAGCCACCGGGTCTGGGACGCGAACCGTGGTCAACTACGTGGGAGTCCAGAGACATAGCCATTACGCTAACTGCTGGTTCCTTCCATGAACTTCTTAAAGACCTTCCCACAGTACATATATTTATAGATAAAGAGAGAGAGAGGAAGGAAGGAAGGAAGGAGACACCATGATAAAACATTGTACAAGAATAAAAGGTTATATAGTAATAAAAGAAAGTTACATGTGGGGGCTGGCAGGTGGTGTGGTGGTTAAGGTGCTGGACCCTCCCACATGACTGACTATGGTTCTAGTCCCGGACCTGCTTACTTGTTTTCTTGCTTTCCCTTTCTCTCTCTGTCTTTGGTCAAATTAAAAAAATAATCATAACAAATGGAATGAAATAAATAAATCATTGTAAAAAAGAAAAATAAACTTACATGTGAAACAAAGCAGAAGTCCTTCATCCTCTGAGAGTCTGGAGTCTGAGAAATCGTCTTTCCACCCTATTACTGTAATAAGTTGTTTTTTGACATGCCGTCTTGCCTCATTGGCTCTTCAGAGCATTTAAGTGATGAACTGAGTCTAATTCCACAGTCTCTCCCACAGGGTAAGGGCAGCCCTGCACTGGCTGATCCAGCTCAGCACCACCCAGTCCACCCCTGCCCAGAGGAGGTAAACCCTGACCCCGCCATGGGCCAGAGAAGAGAGGACATGCCCTCCCAGCCCTTGCACTGGGAACTTGGCAGTGACCACAGACCTTGCAGAGGACGGGGCCAGCCAGACACACCCTGACCTTGGGGGGGACACAGAAAGCAGTGCCAGTTTCTCCCCCTTTCTGTGTCCTGGCCCACTTCCTGGGCATGGAGAGGAGGAGAAATCAGAATGAGTTGTGGACAACCTGCAAAAACAGGTGGAGACTTGGGGGAACGCAGCGGGAAGCGACCCCAGCAGCCATCTGGAATGCAGCCACAGTCCCTGCGGCCCGTGGGTGGCACAGGGCAGGCTAGGATCAGGCAGACAGGAGTGCACGGGCCTGCCCTCTGCCCAGAGAGCAGGCGGCCGGGCTCGCCTTCCTGGGGACGCCGCTCTGCTCAAGCGCAGAAGAACCTGGAAGAGGAGCCCAGGCGGCGTCTCCTGCTGCTGTGCTGGGAGGGCACGGTGGAGACGTGAGGGTGGGGAGAAGCTGGCAGGAGGACTCCCCACCCTCCAGGCTGTGGAGCGAACAGGTGGCCCCAAATCTGTCTGTGTGGCGGGGGGCGGAGGCGGGGAGGGAGAGAATGAGTCTGAAAATATAATGTCCTGAAACTGGAATCTGAACCGAACAAAGGAGGGAAAACAAGCGGTAAGGTAGCATTCCCTAAATTTTCCACCGAAGCACTGCTGCTGTCAGAGGAAAAGCCACTCTCTGTAGTCACAGGACGCCCTGGAAGTCTTGGGTTTTGTTTTTAAGTTGTACGAAGATTTTGTGTTCTATTATATAATAGGCCTGGGATTTGTTTTCATATAAATAAATAGTTCGAAACTTACGATTAAACGACTTAACTTGCTCCATGGGGACGAGGCTCCAGGAAGGTACAGGGCCTTGTCCTGAGACCTGCTTCCGGTCACAGCCTGACACATGCCTGCGCTTCCGGGTGGGGGTGAGCTCACCAGCGCAGCTGTCGGCACCCGGCGGACAGTCCACACGGCAGGAGGAGGCAGCCTGTCCCCAGCCGCTCTGTCTCTGCCCCTCAGGGTCCCCTCACTTTAGGCCACTGACCATTCTGCTTGCCCCCAGAAGTTCTGGCCCAAATGTGGACAAAACTTGCCCTGGTGACGTCACTTAGCTTAGTAGACAGATTTTTCACTTTTCTCCAAAAAGATTGGGAAAAAATTAAAACGAACAAGAGGTTAAGAGAAAGGTTTATTTTATTTTATTTTATTTTTTTGGAGAGGTTTTCGCTGTAGGGCATGTGCGCTCGCCAGACAGACAGAGAGAGACGGAGAGACAGAAAGCGAGAAATCACCCCCCAGGGGGGATGGTCACGCTGCAATCCATTCTCCTCTCGGGATCTTGGGCACGCACGCACACGCGCCTGGTGTGAGTTTTAAGTCACCGGGTCCGGGACGTGAACCGCGGTTGACTACGTGGGAGTCCAGCGACAGCCATTATGCTAACTGCTGGTTCCCAGGTTTATTTTATTTTTAACCTTCAATCACTGTGTATCATTACAGCATACCAAATGAATTTCCCCATTATGGAAAAATAAAGTAATTTAAAAAAAAATGTAAGATGCCAGCCTTCCTGCCTTTCATCCAGCCCTCACCTGAGTTGACCACACTGACCCTCAGAGGACAGACAGGGCGGGCAGCCGTGGGTCCCCAACGCCAAGGACAAGGGACTGTGGCCAGAGTTAGACAGGCCTGGGATGCAGGCTCCATCTTCCTCTTTCTGTGGGACTGTGTCATGTATTATGTGTGTTGTGCAAGTATGTGGTATGTGTGCTTCATGTGTGCTAGTGTGTGCTGTGTGTGCTCTGTGTAATATGCATGTGCTATTTGTGTTGTGTGAATGTGTTTGTGCTAGTGTGTGCTGTGTTTCCTGTATGGGTGTTGTGTGTGGGGGCTGTGTGATGCATGTGTGTTTGTGGTGTGTGCTCTGTGTCCATCGTATGCGATATGTGTGAGTTGTGTGCATGCATGTTTTGTGTGTGCAGTGGGAGTACCATGTGAGATGTGCACAGACGTGGAACACAGGCAGCCAGTGCTGAGACCAAGTGAGTCCCCGGCCTTGCCGCACACGCAGAGCCTTCCACTCAGGAATTCCACCCAGAGGCGTCTATGTTGTCGGGGTGGGAATGGGGGCGGGGGCAGGGGAGACACTCTTGACCCTTTGGAGAAAGGCCAGCTCCCGCATCCAGGTGTCACCTTTGCCCTGCCGTCTACCAAGTATAAAAGAATCCTACATTCATACAGTAAATACAACAGCCACCCAGGAATCCGACGGGGGTTGGGGAGGTAGGAGTGCAGCCGTAAACAGGCATGCTGCGGAGCTGCTGGGCACACAGGGTGTTTCAGTATAACCCACGGTATGCCACGTCGGGGAGCAGTACACAGCAATGTCGCCGACACAGCCCGGTCGTTCGTTACGTCCGAGTAAAGAAAGCAGCAGAGGAAAAAGAACCCACTTTGTCGGAGATACTTCATCCCCACGTCCAGACCAAACCCTACAGCTGAATTCAGCCTCTGGAATTCAGGTGAATGGCAGCATTTTTGTTTCCACTCTGACCTTTGGAATCTGGCTGCTGAAGGCTGGGTCTGTCAGCACCTTGGCCCAACGTACACCAAGCTGACCTCCTAGCAACCGGCCGATTCAGCCAGCCAACCAGCTACTAATCAGCCAGCATCGGGTTAATCTTTACTGCTCACAAGTTCTCCGATGTCTTCACTGCCCGCATCCGGGTAGGTGAGAGAGCCTTGTCCTTTCACGCCTTCGCCCTGCTCCGGAGGACGGGGAGGACAGTCTTCTGGGGAAGGGTTGTTGTATAACTCAGATAAGTTCCAGTGACAGGACCTGGGCCGAGGTTCTGGCCTCTCAGCCACGCCACATGCGGAGGGCACATGCTGGCCTGTCTCAGCTAGAGCCCCTGTCTGCCCTGGGACTGGGGTGGAGCTGAGCCATCCCAGTGGCATTAGTGCGTACTCCGCCATCAGCAAAGATCCTCACCGCAGACTATGAAAACAAGACACCAGAATGAGCCAGAATCCTGTCTGTGGCCTCTGGGCTGATGGGAAGGACATTTTGCAGGGTAACTGTGTGTTAAGGATACACTTTGGCTATCTCCCCTGGCAGGGTCAGTTGGAGGGAGAGCTAATCACTCAGTAAACAGAGAGAAGAGAGATGCTTATACCTAATAAGCCATTGCAAATGGAAAAAGCGAGCTCCGACCCAACGTGATTCTCTCCAGAAATAAATGGCTTGGATCCAAGCACTGCAAACCCTTTCAGAATGCTGAGAGGTCTGCGGGTCCCAGCGCCCCAGAACGTAACCCTTCTGCACCCTTCTTTTCCTCGTGGAATGAGTTAACAAGGGGAGAGGGGGCCACCGTGTGTGTGTGTGTGTGTGCGCGCGTGTGCACCGGTCACGAGTTCTTCTTTTGTCTAAGTTACAGAGCTCCTGGCGCTGCGTCCTTCTCTCTGGGGAGCGGATGCAGCAAGGAGACAGGAGGGCAGATGGGGCTCAGGCCCAGGGTGCTGGAGGGGCCTCCACAACACCCTGCCCAAAGGCCGTTCCAGCCCCCGTCCTCCTTGCCCCCGGAGCCCTGGAGAAGAGGAAAAACAGCACCGTCTAGCGTTTCAGCAGGTGGCAGAGCTGGCCGAGTGGCAGAAGGGAGGTCGAGGGCCCTGCCAAGGCTGGCTGCTCTGGTTTCTCACATTTCTGTGTGGTGCCAACCCTCCTGTCAGATGAAAGCAGCAGTGTGGTTCAATGGGCCAAGTCGCAGCTCCGGCTGCGAGCCTCAACCACGACCCTGTCACCATGGCCTGCCCGTTAATTATTTCATGCCCACTTTTGGTGCTCTCACTTAAAATGTGGGAAGTGAAAACGCTAACCTGTCTCCCCAGGCTGTAAAAAGGAATGGCTAATGTGGAAAAAGAGGAAAGAAGGGTCCCAGAGCATGTGCGGACACACAACACACGCATACAAAATAAGGCTGGCATGAGGGCACTGCAAACACGGCCATGGAAGGAGGGCCAGGGATGCTTCACCCAGGCCTCCCAGGCTCAGTGACGGCCCTCCTGCGGGCAAACTTGCTGCTTCTCAGTCCTTTTCTAGAAAAAAGAACTTCGAAGATTTCCACTGGTCATCCCCACAGCCCATGCCTGCTAATGGCTTGCTCTACTTCAGTTAGAATACATCACAGAATCCAGGAAGAAGAGTAACATTTTCTGTTCTCCTCTCTACTTAGTAAAGGGTCTAGTCTCCTAGAAAGGAAGGAGTGGGGCTCCCTAATAAGATAGCCCCTCGGTTTCCCGCTTCTGATTAGAATGAGGGGCCCAGATAAGATCAGTGACTTGTATTAGTTCGGTATAAGGAGTCTTCGCAAAGTTCATGGAAAGAGTTTATTATGAAAAACTCTTGGGGTTGGCCAGTGGCCTCATGGTTAGGGCAGCAGGATCCCACATGGCAACTATGTGGTTCGAGCCTGAAAAACAAGTGGGGTGCGTGTGTGCCCAAAATCCTGAGAGGAGACTGGAGGAGAAGGGACTGTTGTCTGACTGTCCCCTGGGGCGAAGCACACTAGAGGGTGCTTCTCCCTTTCTCTCTCTGTCACCAGCAAGCACATGCACCCTATGGCAAAACTTGCCCCCAAATATGCATAGATTAAAAACAATTTTTTGTACCAAAGTCAATGTGCACTTTATTCCATGACACCTTCTCCCACTAACTTTTTGCAGTTCCCGTGTATCTTCGCTGTGCTCCTTTTCCTGTTTCGGTAACTGGATTTGAATGTTAACGATCACAGATTTTAAATAGTTACCAGGATATTTTCATGCTGCTAAAACCTCTGGCCAATTTGCCTTGTTAGCGTCGTTGCGTTATGTTCGTATATTTATACTTTGAACTATGTCTCAAATCCACAACGAGATAACCATTTGACATCAATCTGGATGAGAATGATTTTTTAAAAAAAGGAAAAGTAACAATCATTGGCAAAGAGGTAGAGAAACTAGGAACTCTTCCCATTATGGGTGGGAATGCAAATAGTGCAGCCTTTGTAGGAAACATCACGGAGTTTCCTTCAAAAATTAGAAATAGGGGGCAAGCAGGTGACGTGGTAGTTAAGGCACTGGACTCCCACATGGTCAACCACAGTTCAAGTCCCAGACCTGGTGGCTTACTCACCTTCCCTCTCTTTCTGTGTCTCTCCCTGTCTCGCTCTGGTGAGCACATGGGTCCTATAGCAAAGTTAAAAATAATAATAAGTAAGATTAAGTAATTATTGTTTAAAACTAGAAATAGAATTGGCAGATGATTGATCAGTTCTACTCCTGGGTTTATACTGAAAAGAACTGAGAGTAAGAGGGGCTGGCAGCTGGTGTGGTGGATAAAGGGAATGGATTCCCACATGGCCGACCTTGATTCAAGTTCCAGACCTGGTGGCTTGCTTTCTTGCTGTCCCTTTCACTCTCTCTGTCTCTCTCTGTTCGAATTAAAAAAATAATAATAGCAAATGGAATGAAATAAATACATAATTCTTAAAAAATAAAAAAAGAATCGAGAGCAAGACTTTGAAGAGAGATTTGCACACCCACGCTCATAGTAGCATGATTCACAATAGCCAAAAGGTGGAAGCAACCCTAGCCGACAGATGCCGGGTACACAGAGGGGATCTATTCATGCAGTGGAATATCATTCAACCCTAAAAAGGAAGGGAATTCTGACCCACGCTGGGACATGAGTGAACTTTGAAGACTTCGCGCTAGGTGCAATAAGCCAGACACAAAGTGAGTGTTGTGTGATTCCACTCATGGGAGGTGCCCAGAGCAGTCTGATTCCTGTGGACGAAAAGCCACACCAGGGCTGGGGAGGGCAGAGTGGGGGTTGTTATTTCAGGGAATAGAGTTCGGGATGTGCAAGGTGCAAAAGGTGGTGGTCCTCGCATAATCATGTGAACGCCCTTGGGCCACCGCACTGCACCTCCAAAGGGGTAAAATGGTCATGCCGTGTTGCATATCTTACTGCAATAAAATAGTGATTTGTATGTCTGCCACCGTGTGCTGCGCTCCTAACATCCCTGAGGGAGGAAGAGCAGGTTTTCTCTCTGCTTTCCATCAACACGTGGCATCCGGCACCCATGAAGCCTCTGTTCTTTAACAAGTCGGGCCTGGGCTGGCCAGAATCCTGGCGGTTCCTGATTCCAGAACCCTGTCTGGCTACCTCTGGGCACACCACCAGAGCCAATCACGGAGGGATCTGTTGCGGCCCACAAGAGACCTCCTTCCTGCCTGTGTTCCTTTGCTTGGAAGCACGGAAGTACCGGGGGCTCCAAAAAGTGTGTGGAGAAAAATGGAGCTAAAGTAAGAATTTATGGCTGTGCGTTGCCGCTTCACCCTTGTCCCACCGGTCAATACATCGGCCCTTCTGCCAGGGTACCATACTGCACTGAGGTCCCCTGACCTAAGGGGAGGGCACGGCGCCAATTCGTACCTCTCTTGATGTCCCTCACAGTGGCCCGGGACCTTCAGGGGACACTAAAGCTCCAGCCCTCCTCTTAGGCTGGAGTTCCTCCCTCCTGCCGTCCTATGCCTGGCTCGCTTTGCCCTTGTCCTTTTAAACGCAGCTGCAATTCCTAGGATAGTTCTTCAGAGCCACCCGCAGACACAGAGGGGCCCGCTCTCCTCGGAGCGCTGCCGGCTCCACTCGCCCTCAGTGCACTGTGTGTGCGCGCGTGGTTTTCGCTTCGTTGCACTTCTCCTCTTTCACCTTCCTTCTCAGTCTCGAAGCTCCTCTGGCTCACCAGACGGCTCTCTCCCTTCCGGAAAACAGGTGCGCCTGCCCCGGGCTTCTTGGGACTTTCCATCATCGCCGAAAGGAAAAGGAGAGTGCTTAAACCACACCAGGGCCCCGTGAAGGCAGGTGCAAGAAGATCCTTTCTCTTCCGTGCGCCCAGGGACCGCGGAATGGAGGCGAGGGAACGGGCGCAGCACAGGGTCCCGGGCGGGCAGGCGGGGCTGCCCCCGGCTCTGGGCAAGTGCGCTTCGTGGGGTCCGGAGTTCCTGAGTGTGCGTTTGGTGGCGGTAATGGGGGTGGGGGGTCGGTATCGAGGACAGAGAGTGCCGGGAGAGTTATGGAAGAAGACTCTCCACGCCAGGCCTGGGCGCCTCGTCGGTCCTAACCTCCACCCAGCGTCAACTTTTTGCTGCTCCCGTTAGATGGCGCTCAAGACTTTCTAACTACTTGGGAAAGTACTCCTTGCCCGGAACAAAAAGAACCGTAGGGTGTGGGTGTGGGCGTGAGTGTGTACGAGTGTGAGTGCGCGCGCGGGGCGGGGAACAGGGCGCGGGCGTCGCCTGGCACCATGCGTGGCCCCGTCACGGGTCAGCCGGGCCCCGAGCGGGGGGAGCACCCGGGAGAGCCTCCGGACGAGTACTTTCGCCTTTCCTCTCCCCTTTTCCCGCTTCTGTTAGTTCCTGGGCCTTGTTTGGGTTCCCCGAAAGGAGCGGCTGGGCGGCGCGGCAGTGGCCACCGGAATCCGGCGCTGGTCGCAAACTAATGCGGGGCCTCCGCGCGCGGCAGGGAAAGGGCCCCGGACGCGCTGAGCAGAGAATCTGGGCGCAGTCACGAGCCTCAGTATCTTGCACACGGCAGCCCCTTTCTCTGACCTCCCGCCCCAGATCTCAGCAGCCCGAGCTCGCACGAGAGAAACGTGGCAGGTGCAGGCTCTGTCGGTGCGCTCGTAACTGCTCCAGGGAAATTCTGGCTCAGGGCAGGATTCATGAGCCTACTGTGTACACAGGGCCAACTTTCCCGTCCCGGTGCGGGGGCCGGCGAGCCCGGGGAACGTCAAACGGCCTTCTCGTACAAAAGCCCTTGGGGACCTCGGAACATCGTGGGCGACAGCTGATTTTAAAGTAACTGTTTAACGAGAGATCAAGAAGAGAACTTGCTCTCCGTCACCAAGTTCACCTCTCTCCCACACTCTCCAAGAAAAGAGACTTGATAAGTGACCCGGCTCCCTAGCCCTCTCCTTGATGGCTGGCCGAGCGCGCCCTGCCCAGAAGGGCCGCGTCTCCCCACCCTCGACCGCGAGCAGGAGCCCAGAGCTTCCTTTGTGCCCCCCTTGGCTGTGAACTTTCCCGCGCGGTAGGTTCTCCTTTAAGAAACGAGCGGTCCCTATGAATATTTAACACGGAGCGCGGGCCGGACCGGGGGAGGGGAGCCCACCAGCCCGGGTCCCTGCGCGCGCCCCGGCCCCGGCGCAGAGCGAGCGCGTCCACAGGCGCCCGGCCGCGGCGAAAACCCGGGGGTGGGGAAGGCGGGGGTGATCTGGAGGAAAGGGCCAGCCGTAAGGGGGCTGGGGAGCGGGCGCGGGCGAGCTGGCGGTCGTGCTCATTTCCATAAGAAAGCCGGGATCGCGGCTGGAGGCAGGCTTTCTCGCCCCCCGCCCTTTCCCAGACGCGCTTTCCCGCACGGAGTCGGCTGCGGAGCTCAGAGCCGCAAGTGCGCGCTCCGGTCTTTGAAGGTGCAGATAAAATGTGGTTCCCAACGTTGCCCCGAATGGGGCCGGTTTCCTGTCTGTGTGTGAAGTGGAAGGACCGCGCCGGGTGAGTCCAGAGCGCCGGGGAGCTGGCGGGAAGAGCCAGGGAGGACGAGAGGGAGGACGAAGTCGGCGGGCGCAGGGCATCCTAGCAGAGGAGGCACTCGAGTGGGTGTCTGAAAGAGGGAGCCTGGTTGAAACCTGGTACCTCAAGCTCAAGATAAGTGGGGGCGGGCGGGAGGAATTAGAGAAGAAAGCCCCCAGAGCCCAGGCTGCCGGTGCAGGGGAAGGTCTGGCCCGCCTCGGGGCATCCCTCTGCAAAGACCGGAGGAAACTTTCACTCGCGGCCGCTGACCCTCTTCCTGCGAAGAAATAAAGTGAACTTGCTCAGACAGTCAGTCCCACTGGCGGCTCAGTTCTGTCTGCTTTCGTATTGAGTTTCTTTTCGGCTTTCAGTGTGAACAGCAGCCATGCGTCCTCAATTCCTCAGTATATATACTATGTGTGCGTGTGTGTGCGTGTGTGTGTGTGTATTCTCCTAGGTACTTTATGATCCCATCTGGAGAAATTAAAACCCAGATCTGTAATGTTTATTCTTAGATAGTTTACAAAAAGCAAGAAAAAGATGTGTGAGACACATGTCTGCAAATATAACAAACGCACTTTCCCTTCTGCTTGCAAAAGTTGCCTGCAATGAGCCTCCCTGATTCTGGACCACCTGCACTTTCTATGCAACTCAATCGGGTCATGGGTAGAGCACCAATCAGATCAAGCAATTACATACCAATTATGACTATTAATGACTGTATTACTAATGATTGGAGTTGAGGACTCCAAATCCGATCAAGGTAATCAAGCTGTTTTACAAGTCTGCTACCTAAGATGTTTATAGCACTTCTCTCCCAAAAAGGAGGCGAGGCTGGTGATTACGTTTTCCAAGGGTTTGTCGGTAGGTGTCCGTGGCTGATGTTGAACTTACTTCTTTCAGTACACTTTATTGCTACTTCTGGTAAATAGTGGAGTCTTCTTTTCTGGCCCTGTCAAGTTATGCAAAGTGTAATTGATAATGGTGGTGACGACATCCTTGGTTTGGATGCAGAAGTGGGGTGGGGTGGAGGTGCAGTCTCTCTGCAGTTACTCTGGTATTGCTGAAACTCTGGGAGATTTTAAGGAGCAAGTGTTTCAGATCTTCAGAAGGGGTCACGCCTGTGGGCATGGCTGGGAGGCCAGACGCTGAAGGACGGCAAAGCCAGAGAGCAAAGGAGGAAGAGGGAACTTGCTCTCTGTTTTTCATTCTCTTTTTCTCGTGGGTTGAAATGGCTTTGGCGTGTCATAAGCAGAGGGACTGCAAAGCAGAGGTTACTGAGAGGAGTCTGTTGGCTGATGGACTACTTTGTGACTGGGCTTAGGAAGTGGTGGGGAAGATGACTTGCCTCCATAGCGACCTCTCTTCTCATCCCAGATGGAGGTCCAGGCCCAGTTCTGGGATGGGAAAGGAGGTATGGGGGTGGGGGGAGGATAAACAGTCATTAGAAAGGAAAGGGGCTGGAGGGGGTAGTCAGCCACTAGGTAGCAGGCAGTGGACATTGGGAGGAACCACCATCCGTCTGGATGCCGGTCATCTCTGCTTGCCCCATAGCTCAGGCCTTCTCGCTGCTCTTTCAGGACACCAGGAGTGTTGGGGCCATGAACTTCAGCGCTGCCTCGGCGGCCTGCCGGGACCTCTGCAGCACCTCGGCTCCTGGGAGAGCCCCAGTGGCAGTGCACACCTGGTTCTTGCATTACCCTGCCGGGTGGAAATGCCCAGGCAGCATGGCAGAAACCCAAGCTGCCCGCAGCAAGCACACCCTCTCGGGGCAGCGTCAAAGTGAGGGTCCTTTCAGAGCACTGGGTGGCCTCTTCTCTTGATGTGTAGCACGTGCTCCTCCTCCTGGGCTCTGTGTTGTCAGAGTTAATTGCCTGGCAGTGGGACATCTTGCACCTCAGAGGAGCGGGGAAATACAGCAGGGTAGGACTCCCCCCAGGTAACAGCATGGCATAGGATCCTCTTGGGCACTCCAAGGGTCCAAATGCCTCTCTTGAATGGAATGGGCCTGGGGTAGTCTCTCTTCCGCTGGCTCCCTAATCCTCCTCACCTCTTCCTGACTGTTGGCAACCTATGCAGGACCCTGAGTCCCGAATGCAAGTGGCCACAGCTCACCCCAAGGGCAGAGCTCAACAGGAAAACTCCATATGCCAGCTGCAGATCTGGTCTGTCCCTAAGCAGCCAGCAGCACCCCCACAACCCAGACAGCCCAGAGACACCCTAGGAACAAACTCTTTGCTGACCCTGATAACCCCGTGAAAGAGTGAAGGAGGGAGCCAGAGGCCAGTACAGGGCTCCCTGGGACTCCCAGCAAGGACTTCCGGCACAGGGCTCCAGTGTAGGCCCTGCTCACTAAGCCTGGGCGCTGGGAGCCAGCTTGGGAACAGGGAGAAAAGCCAGTGTCCCCTCCTTGAGGCAGCTGCAGAGATGTCCCAGACAACCAGTACCTTGGAGGAGGGGAAGGCTGTCGTGTGGAGCTGGCCCTAGGTTGATTGATCCTGTGATTTCTTTGGATTTCTTTATTTATTATTTAGTTTTTACTGTAGGGCATGTGCACGTGTCAGAGAAAGAGAAAGTGAGAAATCACCCCTGGGAGGAGGGCCATGCTGAAGGCCATGCCAAACTCAGTTTTTCTCCTGTCTCCTCAGGAGTTTGGGCATAGAAGCACACACGCCTTGTGTGATTTTCAAGCTGCCGAGTTTGGGACTCAAACCCTGGAATTGGCCATGTGGAGTGCAGCGCACCTTAACCTCCGTGCCACCTGCTGACACTGACACTGTGATCTTGTTCACTTTCCTGCCAGGAGATCTGAAATCCAGCCCAGAGTCTCCCAGAGCCTGGGGATTCCACACACACAAACTTGGGGCAGAAAAACCAGAGGATATTCGGTATTCTAGATCCTCCTGGGACCCGGGCCCTACTAAAGACCCACATCTGGGAAATCGGCCTTCTCAGACACCTGATGAGAGTTAGAGGCAAGTTTCCTCAACTTCCAACCCGTTGGAAAATTGGCATACGCATGAAGAGCAGAGTGGTCTGCCCTAGAGGGCCTCCATTGTGCCAGAAAACCTTTGTCCTCCTAGTGCACCCTGTCTCCCCTAGGTGGCCCCTGCACGTCTGTGCAGGGTGTCAGGGGAGCTGGGGAAGGAGGCTGGCCTGGCCTCTGCTACCCAAGTAAATATAAATGAGTTTTGCGTTTTAAGGAGATGTTTTCCAGCTTTGAACTGTTCCCAGAACGCACCTAATTTCATCAGGATCTCCTGTCAGCAACTGTAACCCACCTCACCTCTTCGTTTTCTTCTTTGTAGCTTTAGGCTGCATTTTAGGAGGGCTTATATAATGTTCATGTCAGCAAATCTCCCTGTCCCCACCCTCTCCCAGCTCCTTGCATGGAATGTAGCTGGAAGCCACACACACTGCACACAGAATCTTTTACATTTTTTCTGTTATTCTTCTTGCCTAGAAGAGTTGACAAGACATAGACGCATTAAGTTGCATAAAATACAGCGGCTTGATCAGCCAAAATGCATCTCATTTGCACTTGTATGTAGCCAGGGGTAGGGGCTCTCACGCCAGGCCACACTGACTCCCTGGAATGCTCCAGCAGGCCCCTCCTGCCAGCAGCCGCCATGCCATTTGCGAGGTGCTGTTGAGCTCAGCCCAGGCCAGCGGGCTGGGGTACCAGGAGGTGTCTGGGAGCCTGGCCTGAGGACTCAAACCAGCTCTGGCAGACCTTCACTCCGGCTGCTCAGGGGGCTGGGAGGCTTGGTGGGTGGGTGCCCACTGCTGGAAACAGGTCTCTAGGCGTCCCTTGGTTTGAATTAAAGAGAGAGGACAATGGTGAAGTGATGTGAAATAGAGGGACAGTCACTGACCATGTTTTGCACTCACCACTCGCTTTGTCCCCTGGGAGCTGCTCTCCGCCTGATGCATCCCTGCACCTGCTTCTAGCCCCAAGCTTGGACTGAGCTCCTCATTTCTTCCCTGGTCTGTGCTGACCCCAGTCCTGGGCCCACGGGTTCCTGGAGCAGAGTCTGTCCCACTAATATGACAGGCACGTAGGAGCTGTACTAGGAGCCACGGAGTGCAGGTGGGGTGCTGAGGTGAAGTTTTAGTTTTTCTTCTTTCATCCCCCAGTCACCTCCGTAGGGTGATCTCAACTACTCCGGTCTCTAGGTGCTAGAGCGCCAATCCCTATCCACTAGCTGGAGGCCGGGGCTGCTGCTGGGGTGGGGTCTCTGCAGCATCCATGGCCACTGGGGATAGGAGGCAGAAAGGCAGAAGGATCTGGGGTCCTCCGGAAGCCTGAGAGGGCGCAGTGCCTAGTCTTGGCCTTGAGAAATGCCTACCTAGCCTAGATGAGCACCCCACAGGGTGTCTGGGGGTCTTTTCCACACGGGGGCTTCCATTCCTCACATGGGCAACGGTGACTCAGAGGCCCACCAACCCCAGGAGCTCCCTGCTTTGCTGGGCTCTTGGCTTCATGGCCTTCATCGCCTGCCCAGATTGCAGCTTGTGACCTTCCTGGGGCCAACCAAGGGCGAGGCGTGTAGCCCAACAAGGCCACCGCCCCACTGAGCCGCCATCAACAAGGCCCTGTGTTCAGGGCTCAGTCTCACCCAGCCTACCGAGACCTGCAGGAGCTCAGGGACTGAGGCTGAGGCCAGGCAGCCAGCCCCTCACCATTGGCAGCCCGGACACACTGCGGAGTCTGGAGGAAGAATCAGGCAGGCTGGGAGCTGGGGACAGGCCTGCAAGGTGTGTGATGCTTTAAGGGTGTGCCAAGCCTTTGTTATGGCCCTGTGGGCGTGTGCGCCAGCTCGTCCTCCAGAGCCCCTCTGTCCTCTCCCCACCACCTCCCGGTCTCCCCACTAGAGAGAGGACCTGGCACTGGGGATCTTCTGGGGATCAACCTCCCCGCTTCAGAGCCTCTTCTACAAACTGCTAGTCCCGAGGTTACAGTCTCCCTGTGCCTGGGGCACGTGAGTGCGGTCTGCACTACCTGCACGTCTGGGGCCAGGTCATCCTGGAAGAACTGGCTTTCTGAATGTGACCTCGGCTGCAGCAGCACAGCCCTGCTACTGCTGAAGGAGTGGCTCTGCTGTCACCGCAGGGGTGCCTGGGGTGGGCACAGCAGGGTGCAAGAAGGGGAGAGGAGAACCTGCACTCCCGTGGTGCAGCCTTGAAGATGCTGATAGAGGAGAAGAGCTGGTTAAAGACGACAGAGCTCAGAACTCACCTGGTCATGGGCAACCAGGTCCCAATCCACCAGCCCCCCCCCCCCCACACACACACACAGGACGACTCCTCAGCCAAGGAGGTGCAGCTTTAGGAAGGGTCTCTGCAGGATGCCCTGGCGCACAGAAGGCGGAAGGGTGCCTGTGTACTGCATACAGGCCTACACGTGCTGTGTCATACATGGCCACACATGTCCCCAGTCTTGCTAATTTCTTTTTATTCCTTTTTTAGGGCTTTCTACCTGCTCATAGTCATTGAAGAAAACTGAGTGTCCGCACCTCCTCTCGCAGAGAATTCTGTATATTACGTAGCACTCTCACACAGGGAGTCCTCAAGGGACCGTTTTTTGTCCCAAATCAGCTAGCACTCAGGGGGTGTCAGGGTGCTGCCAAAGGAGGGGGACCCTTCATTCCCTGGGGGCTTTATTCTCCTCCTTGAAGCCTCTGTTCGAGGCCTAGTAACAAAGGAGAGAGATAAATGATCTCTCTTTGGTCTCCCCACTCACTTCCACCCCCTCATCTGCAAGCCCAACTCTGCTCCAGGGAGGAAGCAGGAAGCGGGTGGGATCAGGTACATATGTAAATACTGCTGACCCCAGAGGCCCCGTTCTGAAAAGCACGAAAAAGCAGAAAGCCCCTTTCAGGTGCAGGCTGCTCAAAGGCTCTGAGTACCCACCACCTCCACTCCCCCAGACGTGGGACCCAAGGCTGGGCGCTGAATATTCCTGTCCTGCCAAAATGATCCAGGCAAACTACTGAATACTTCCTGGAAGAATTAAAGACCTTTCTCTGGGGGCTTGGGAGGGAGGGAGGTTGACACATTTTAAAGCCCTGCTTGGCAGAAATCTGCAGGTCCTGCAAAGTAGAATCCGTAGGCTTGCTAGAGCACTTTGGAAATGTGAGAGGTGTCTCTCCCAAAAGATCCTGGTTGAAAATAGTTTGTAGATGTTACTTTGCTTGCAGATGGCTTTTTGATTATTGTAGCCTAAAGATTCGGGAGCCCAAGCTACTAAGACATTTATTTTCATTTTGTTACTTTCTGGGTGATCCTGTGCCTTCTGATTAGTCCCATTTAACTTATTTAGTTTTAACTCTGCAGGAGAGTTTTCAACCTTGGAAATGTAAATGAAAAATAGCCTTTGTCCCTCTGAGACCTTTACAAGGGGCAGAATGGAACGACCGCCCTGGCCTCCCCCTCTCTGCTCTTGCCTTGAAGTTGCCCAGTCTGAACCTGGGTAGGGTGAGGGTGGCGGGTTCTGACACCTTTTATTTTAGTGCTGGCACAAAGAGAGCTCTTTGAAATGAATATCTCTTCCATTTCAGTGTGGATACAGCGTTCCCGCCGGCTAAATGGGCTCGCCTTCTGCTGGGAAAGCAGTCCTGGAGGGCAGAGGTGACGTGGCGCCTCCTAGGAAGTTCCTCTGCAGAGTACCTCCTGTTCTGCTTGTTTCTATTTAATTAATAATTAAAGTGTTTTTGCTTCTCTCTCAGTGTCTGTCCCATTATTCCGTGGCAACCACAATGAAACGTGGGCGGCGTGATGGTTCCTTTTGTCCTCGGAACCAGGAGTAGCATGGGGAACTTACCAAGCCCCAGACAAGCCTCAGGTGTGTTCTGGGCTTCTGAGGTTGAGAGGTTGATTTGCTACTCACTGGTCACACAAAGGGTTCACACTTGATCTGCCTCCCTTTGGACAGCTCTCCTCAAGCGAAGCGACGTCCCTCTCCCAACTTACAGGAGAAGGGGATTCGCTTAGAGAAAACTTCCTGAGTTAAGAGACTGAACTCAAGTTCTCCAGGTGAGGGGTCCTGGCTGAAGGGTGACCTAGAAACCATCACTTGGCACTCTGACGAGGTGGCTTCTCTCAGGAAGGAGGGGGCTGCAGATGCATCTCCAGAGACATCTGAAAAGCCATGGCAACTGAGTACTTTGCAAGTGTGGTATATTCCCAGCCAGCTCAGGTTATTGAAATGTGAGTTTTGTTCACAAGGACAGGCTCATTCTCTCTCACAGGTACACACTCACACACACACACACACACACACACACACACACACACACCAGATAGGGTTTCCAGCACATTTCCACTGGGCAACCTTGGTGACAGCAAGCACAACCAACTCACTTCTTTTCTAAAGAGTCAAAAAGAAAACAAAACTTCTTTCTGTATTTTAAAAGGCTATTTTACACGCTCTGACATCCCCAGAGACAGGGACTGGCCAAGACCCCGATCCTTTTTCAAAGAACAGGTAAACTATTCACCCCCTTCATCTCCTCCCCAAGACTCAGCTATTTTCAAAAGCTAAACTTTCTGTTTTCCAATGGGAGGAAAGGGAACGAATTCCGTGAATGAATTACATACATGGAATATAGCTTGTCTAGGACAATTGTGTTTGTAAATAAATGGCTTCCTATTTATTATGGATTTTATACTGAAAAAAAAAAAAGAACTCTAATGCCTCCGAGCACCTTGTAATAATACAGAAAATATTTCAACTTATGGTTTGAGTTCCACTGTTGGTTTTTATTTTTATTTTGGTACTCAGTAGAAATAAATCGGGTTAAATTGAGTCAGTTGTTGGGTCCATTACCCTCAAGCGTCAAGGCTGACCTGGGGACCTGTCACCTCTAAAGTTGTTAGGTTGGCCAAAGTGCTGGGGGTAGAGGGGCGGCTGCCTGGGAATACTGTTGGAATTAATCTGGGGGTTTTACCTTTCTCCTTGGGGCTTTCTAAAGCTGACCAGGGCCTCCTTTTGCAGCTCCAGAAGAGAAGCCCGGGTGCTATCTCCGTGGCGGGTGGACTGGCACAGACCTACGGGTTGGCACCCCTGCCGCCGGCGCCTGCCTGTACCCTGCGGTTTCAGTATCGCCGGGCAGGCGCGGGGCCAGCAATCCTCGGGCACGAATGGGGTGCAGGGGGTGATCGTGAGGGTGTTGGGCACAGAAGGACCACCCTGGCGTTTGCGGGGCGCTCAGGCTTCCGCACGCTAGAAGCCAAGGGCAGGGCCAAGCGCCCAGGGCTACCCTAGAACTGCCCTGCCGAGTTCCGCGCGCCCGGCCTGTGCCCAAAACTTCCACGAAGCCGCCCGCCGCCAACCGCCTCCGGCCCTGACCCAGCTCCGCAGTCCCAGCCCCCTAGCCCTCACTGCATCCAGACAATGCGACCTGCCTGCGCCGGAGGCCATTCTGCTCTGACCCTTCTCCCCCACGTTCCGGCTGGAGCCGTTTCTTAGCCCTCCCCGCGCGGGTCTTTCTGGAAGAGACACAAAGTACGCCCCTCGCGTAAATCTCAGCTCGGCCTCTGCGCTGGGCCACAGCCTTTGAAGACCCAGGGGGTCACTGGTCCGTCTTTGCTCTGTCCTCTGCTGCAGGGCTTGGGTTCACCGGGAGCTGGGGTCAGCCGGGGCCCTGAGCTCCGCGGGCGGTCGTGGAAGGGGAGGCGGGCTCTCCATTCCCCCAAGAGGAGGCTGGATCCAGAACGGAAAACCCGCAAACGCCCAGCAGAGATCCACTGCCATCTCTGCTCTACTCCCCACACACCTCCCAGAAAGTTACTGCCTGAACTCTGGGACCCGAGCCGACTGCAGCCTTCGGGACCTCCCCGGCCTCCAAGGAAACTTTCCGGAGTTTCCTTCTGCCTCGGCTGCGTTTCCAGCCCCGGCCTGCAGCTGATTGCGGACTGCTTAGTCCCCGGGGCTCACAGGCCTGAGCAGTTTCAGAATCATAATAATTGTTATTATTTGGCTGGGAAAAGGAGAGCGGGACCAGAGAGTGGGTGGGGGGCGGTGGGACTTCAGGGGAGAGTAGAAATGTGAAGAAAGGGGACATTTTAACCTGTGTTTCAAAAGGTTTCCGTTGACAATTATCAGTAACCCAGATAGACAACTCCATTTAAAAAAAAAAAAAGGAGAATTTACTACTGCTCCTGAAAGCCGTTATTTTTTACATCGCTTTTAGGAAGATAGATGAACAAAACATCGCGTTTCAAGCCATTTTGATCTGTAATTAAATGGCAGGATCGGTTTGTATTCTCCTACGGCTTTTACAGAAGTTGCAGTGATCCAAAGTCGGGTTGCTGTGTCAGAGTGGCATTTTTATTAATGAGAATACAAAAAGCTTGCATATTCTTAGCCCGGCTTGAATTTAGTTGCTAAGCAACCGGTGTATGGTAATTCATCCGCGAAATTTAAATCTTTGAGAAAAGATCGTGCGTTTTGCTGAATGGTCGCCACGAGGAAAACAACTTGTGGGACCCGCAGCAGCTGCCACAGTCGGGCCGCCGGGCCGTGCCGGGCCGGGCAGGGACCCGGCCGCCCCGCCGCGACAGCCACCGCCCCACCTCCGCGTCCAGCCCTGCCCTCGCTCCCGGGGAGAAGCGGGCTTTGGCCGCTCTGCTGCCCCGGGCCCTGTCACCCACCCCGCCTCTCCTGACCTCGGGTTTTCACCCGAGGCAGGCCCGCCACCTGGCCAGGTCCCCTGGTGCATGGGGCAGCGGAGTCCAGCCTGCGGAAGCCGCGTCCCCCGCCCCTCACGCGCACCCACACGCATGCGGCACGCGCGCACACGCACACACACTGGCGCACACGGCGCGCAGCCACGAGAATGCCTGTTGTCCTCTGCCCAGACCCCTCTGAGGTCACTTCCAGAGCCCACTGTTCCTTGAGGAAGACCGCACTCATCAAGAACGCAGCCCACAGCCCGCCAGAAGGCCCGGGGGCCGCCGCTGGCCGGCAGTGACATCATAGCCTTCAGCTCGCCAAGCTCGCGCCCACATTTTAGGATACAGGAACAAACACGGATGTGAAATCAAGAATGAAAGAGAGAGTAATCTAATTAATAGGCCCTGAGCCCGGCTAACAAAATCAAAGAAGCTGATTACACAAGTGCTCCGCTCGCTATCTCGGCCGCCCCCACCCCCAGCTTCTCCAGCCTCCGCGCCGTTTCCTTCCCTAGCCTGCAAAGTTCAGGAGGCAAAGGCACAGCCTCTGTCTTCCTTGTTGAAATCGAGATCAAGCCTACCAAGGGGCTCTCCTGGCCTGGAGGCCATGGCGGTGACCTTCAGGCCCAGTGAGCAGCAGCCAGAGGAACTGAGATGACTAAGTGACTTACAGAACTTGGAGAACCAGCGAGGTGGCCCACACTTCTTACAGATCACTGCTGACAACACCTGTGCTCATGGCTTCTCTGTCAGCAGCAGGACTCGGGGAAGGGGCATCTCTGCTCACACCATTTTAGGACGATCTAACTTTTCTGTTTTTTTTTTTTTTAAATAGCATAATTATTTTTCTCTACACCACCTTGCTTCTGGTCACAAAATACCTCAAACTCACAACTCTTTTTCAACTTCCTTCCCCAGCACTGATATCTGAGAACAACTGATTATTAGATTTTTACCACTGGAATATAACATGTGTTCTAATCAGTCCAGCCAGCCACATGCACTTCACAAAAGAAGAGAATTCTTTAATTTCCCCTTTTCTGCCTTAATAGTAATAATACTAAAAAAAACCACCCAGGTCCACCTCCTAAATAATTAATTTCAAGTCTGCGCCCAGTGCCAATACTTGTTGCATCCATTTCAGACTTGATTAATTACCTTGGAACTTGGGCAAACTAAACTCCACGTGGAGAGAATGTTTCTTCCTTCAGTTTAGTTCTGAAAGCTCCAAGTTATTGATGGATCTTACTCTATTTACATACAAATTGGTGCAAATAGGCCCATCTTTTAAAATGCATTTGGTGTAAATATATAAAAGTGTCATTTTTGATTTAGCTTGAAGAGGTTGATCATTTATTACAAAAATAAACGAATAAATACAACAATATATTGTTGTTTCCAACAGGATAAATACTTTACAAATATATAATTTAAAAAACAAATTTAATTGTTAAAGTTATTTAAAATATTACACTTATCGATAAAACTATTAATAGTATATACTGCATTAATATTAGAACCAATGATTCTGTGAATGTTGAAAACCATTCATACAAAACAGATTATGAGCATGGTATGAGCAGACACTGCAAGCTACAGGGAGACGGAGGGACTCTCTAAGATCAATTATGAACAGTTCTATTTTGGAACAAAGAAGTAGTCCTTGGATGAGTACTAACCAAAAAAAAAAAAAAAAGAAGAAGAAGAAGAAGAAGAATGAGAAAAGGCAGAGCAAAAACAGCGAAATGACTATTTTAAATACACCTTGAATGATTTATCACATAGACTTGCCCGGGGAAGGTGGGTGGGTGAATGAGGTGACCAAAGCTTGAACAACTGATGGAGAGCCACAGGAGACTGTAAACTATAGATGGGCCTCGCTTGGGATTAGCTAGGCTGATGGAACAGAACTTTGTCACTTTCCTTTGGGTTGGGAGGGGAGGAGGGGGTGGGTTGAAATGAAGGAAACAAATGGACGCTTTACCAAGCACAAGACACTTGCGCTGCAAAGGAACACAATGAGCAAATTCATTAAAAAGATCTGGTGATATG